CAGCTTCACCCTCACAGCTCCCACCTTGATGGGGGGGGGGGGACCCCGCAGTTGCCCAGCCATGGCCGGTGGCCCCTGCAGCTCCCAGCTGCCCTGGGGGCGAGGCAACCTTGCAGCAGCCCAGACACATGGGCAGGGGGACCCCACAGCTCCCACGCACTGCAGCAGTCGGGGATCCGGGAACCCCAGCAGCAGTGGTTGCTGAACCTGCCTACCCCTTTTGTCAGGGACAGGCTCCCATGAATTTTTGTTTATTGCCCGTGACCTGTCCATGACTTTTATTAAAAATATCCAGGACAAAAACTTGTCTTTATTGCTCATGAATAAAACTATGCTACTGCAGAGCGTTCCCTTCACGTTATAGTCTATTCTATTGCTGAGCTTTCCCTTCATGTTATAGTCACATGGAGAGGGCATCGGAGGGGCGGAGGGAGGACATGTTGGGACAGCCCTTCAGCCAGTGTCGGTCAGCATAGCTCCGTTGTTTTGATCAGCATAATGCCACTGAAGTCAATGGAGCTGGTTTACATGGATCTGGCCCTTTAGATGTCCCTAATTTATGTCCTGTTCCCCAGCTGTGCGGGGTTCTCCATAGCAGTCACAATCCACACACGGGCAGCGGCTTGCCAGTAATTCCCACACTGCAGCATAGCAATACATAATCCCCTAATGGCAGGGCAAAGACATTAAGGAGCATGTACAGGTTGTAGTGTTTGTACTTCTTGCATTTGTGTGTTTTGCCCACCAGGCACTTTTGATGCCTAAATGGGGCTGAGAAAATAAAAAGTCTGGGCCAAAACTTTCAGAAGTTCTGGACACCCAGCCCCTTTTCAGAGGTGCGGAGTATGCCCATTCCCATTAACTTTGAGTGGAGCTATGCATCTTCCACACCTCTGAAAATCAGCACCAAGGAGGCTCAAGTTGAACATCCAAAAGGCAGCAGTGGACACTTTTCAAAGTTTTGGCCCTCATCTTCCAAGAGGATTTCAGTTCCTGGAGGGCAGAAATTGAAGCAGTTTTCTTATTTTTTCCCCCTCCCGAAGCAAGATGTTAAAAGCCTGTGAAACAAAAATACAGGGCTGATCTTGGAGTTATAGAAGCATAGGATTGGAAGGGACCTTGAGAGGTCATCTAGTCCAGTTCCCTGCACTCATGGCAGGACTAAGTATTATCTAGTTCCTGCAGAGAGGAGCTTATACAGCGTTATAAGAGGGGAACCAAATGCCTTACAACATGGCAAGCACAGGAGACAACTTTAGCTCTACGGAACCTCAGCTCCTTGTTTAAAAAGCAATTTCCAACCAGAAACAGGATCTAGAAGGCTTTACAAGGGGCAGCAGATCAATTCTCAGTCTCAGTCATGCTACATACCTGAGGGTGCCTATGTAAAGTCAAATTCCTTTGGCTCTTCAAAGATTAATATTATCCACCAGCAGACTCCATGAGGCAAGATATCCCTTTCACCTTACAAGTGGTGAGCTGCAGAAGGGGCACATGGTGCCCTCCCCCAAAACCTCTCCTGGGGAACAGCTCCTACTTTAGAGATGCAGAGAACAACAACAAATCCCAGAAGATCCCTTTCCAAACTCAACACAAGCTGTTATTTCCAAGAAAACACAATCAACTCTGCCATGGTCAGTTCAGAGAAGCTAAAACCTGAAGGTGCTACTGCTCTCTTCCCAGCACTCCTGATTGCACACCTGGCTGCCCTTAAGGGGATAACGATGCTCTGCTGAAACTTCAGACATGTGCTCTGCTAACTTATCTGCTATGCAGAAGTGCTTGGCATATCATACGCTGACCTGGTAACAGGCCTTTTGGTGAGAATACTTGATATTAATGAACATAGACCTCAGTGTTTGCAATGAAAGGTACAGAACCCCACTGAGTCCAATGGGGTTTCTTGCAGCTGCAATGGTCTCTGTGTACACATCTCATTGTAGGATCAGGGCATTATTCTTTATTTGCACATTCAAATATATTAATTATGCCTATGACTGTAATAATAATTATGGCAAAAGGGATGAAGGCTGAAGACAAATGATGGAACATAGGGGCAGGTGAATAGCAAGATTCAAACATCATAACTGCCCTGCCATACCTCCAGTCTGCAACAGAATTTTAAAAAGATCTTCAGTTTATACATGTTACAGGTGACTCAGGGTTACAATGTCCTGTAGGACCTGAATCAGGATATAGGCCCGTTGTGTCTTGGATTGTTTGGTGCAAGCAGCATAGTTTGCAGAGAAAGTATAGATTAAAGGAATTCCTAAACTCTAATTCCAGTAATTGAATGCGTGGCCTGGGGTGAATCATTTTGCTTCTTGGTGCCTGAGTTTCTCCATCTGTAGAATGAGGATATTTCTTCACCTCATAGGAGTGTTGTGAAGCTCAGTGAGTTAGTTTGTACTTTGCTATAAAGCATAAGAGCTATGGCCTAGATCCACACAGAAGTTATTTTGACTCCTAACTTCCATTGCCTTCGTTGGAAGCTAGGAGCCAAAATACCTTGTGAATCTGGGCCTAAACGATGACAACGTTTTGGAGAGAGAAGTACATCGCCATGCAAAAAAAAACACCCTGGCAGTCAGTGTTGGTTGGTGATGGAAGAGTGGGGAAACAATGAATGGAAAATTCCCTCCAGAGTCTAGCTACTCCCCAGCACAAAAATGACAAATAACCACTTAACTTAAATTCCCTGTAGTCATCAACCTTTACTTAATACCATTTGACTTTAACTGAAAGCCCCATTCCACTTATTCACCACACTCTCCATAAAATATCACCTTGAATGCATCTTATGTAAAAGTGTTGTCGTAGCCCTGTTGGTCCCAGGATATTAGAGACACAAGGTGGGTGAACCCAGACCTGAACAAGATCCCTGTGTAGTTCAAAAGCGTCTCTTTCACCAACACAAGTTGGTCCAATGAAAGCTATTACCCGATCTGCCTTGTCTCTCTTATATAACAATCATTCTCAGCTGAAAGGTGCTTTACCAACCTTAGGTCTTGCCCCATAAACTCTTATTCTTGGGAATAAGCCTTACTTACTCAGCTAGTCTCCTTGGCTGAGCAGAGAGGAAGGATGGGCTAGTGGTCAGGGCACTGAACTGGGACTCCTGGCAGAGCCAGGAACTGACCCCCCCCCCAACCTTCCTATATGTCATTGAGACCCAGCTTACCAATGAGAGTTAGGTGCCTAAGTATATTCGAGGGTCTGGGCCTTAACCTTTCTGCTCCTCATCTGCAAAATGGGGGCCTAACAGGAGTGTAGTGAGGATAAGTATTTGGGAGGGGCTCATAGAGGGGCCACATAAAAATGGAGATAGAGCCGCTAATGTGAATTACCAGGGCCCCACAAAACACATTGACCTAGAGAGGTCACTGGTCATTGCATAAATAAATACACTCCCCCCTTCATGTAGCTGCAGTGTTTTGCCCACCTCTTGGTAACCGGGAGAGGTGGAGCTGGTTTCTTGGGTGCCTCATGGAATCATCATAAATACCAGTCCATAAGTAACACTGGCTGTTTTGTGTTGAGACCATACTGTCAAGGCGGAGGTGTTCTCTGGGTACACAGGCGGAGCAGTGGGTCTCCAAGCCTGTTGGGCAGGCAGCCAGGTGTAGGTTACAACCAAAATCCAGCAGTCAGCCCGGAGACTTCTGAGGGGGCAGCAGCCAGTGGCCAGTGCTCCCTTCTCTGGCCCGGTCTCATCCCGCCAAGAAGTGTGTGTGGGTGTGTGTGGGTGGGTGGTGGTTGGTTTCCTCTTGAAGACGGGTTGAACACAGCACCTGCATCAGGTACATGACCAGGGGGAAGAAGGGGATTTCTTCACTAGCTGCCCGCTTCAGCAGTGTGTCCAGCCCCAATTGGGCGGGCAGGGGCCTCGCGCGCTGCTACCGCCCCGGGCGCCCCGCAGCTCCCCCGGGGGCCTCGCGCGCCGCTACCGCCCGGGCGCCCGCCA